TACAGTTCCTCATGTTGTGGTGACCCCCGGACCATAACTATTTTCGTTGCTACTTCATAACTATAATTTTGCTTCTGTTGTGAATCGGGTGACCCCTGTGAAAGGGTTGTTTGACCCCCCAAAGGGGTCACGACCCACAGGTTGAGAACCGCTGGTATAGTGGTTACACATTGGGCTGCTAACTGCAACGAGTAGTTTGAAGCCACCTGTTTAAATACCATCCCCCAAGGTCACTGTGAGTTGGTTTTTATTTATTTTGAGCAGGCCAGGGGGAGGAGCCTGGCGCAGGAGCTGACTGCAGAGATGAAGAAAGCTGCAGTTTGAGAAGAAGACAGTCCTTTCAGCTCACCTACCTCTGTAAACTTTCCACTTTTGTCCCATCCCTCAGTTTTCCGTAATCCTGTCGTTTTACTGATCCATTCTTTTCCACCTTACCAAAAAGATGGCGCACGAAGTATCTATTCTTGGTGGACCTCTTTCCACAAACTCTCGTCTGCTCTCAAGGTTTTAAGCACCAATGAAACAGCTCACTAATCTATGTCTGCAACCCACACTTCCTTTTTGAGCTCCATCCCTGTAGTCTTAGTGGGATAGGACTTTCACTGCCCACTTGGTCAGCATGGCTGAGTCCTCCTCCCTTATGCATTTATCAGATCGATGCCATTCTTGTTATCTTTCAATACTCTTTGACCTCATCTCTGGACTTTTTATTGATAAATCTGTTTGGTAGTCTTGCCCTTAAAATCCATCATCCTCAGTGCCATGTGGTTTTTTTATTTTTCCCTAGATACTGCTTTTAAAAAACTAACCATTTCACGCTCCTTCACATCAATTTAATTGCTTGTTTTTGAACTTCTGACACCTATTCCCTTTGACACCTCATGACCACAATGGCTGGTGTGCTTCTTCCATGTAGGTTTTGTTGATTTCCTGCTCAAAGGCCGCTTTGTTTGACTACAAGCCTTTAAGACCCCAGACATTATATCTATTAATAGCCGGGCACCATCAGCTTTCTTCAACGCATTTGCTTATGAGCCTATTCTGTCTTCTGTGATTGTGATGGGAAGCTGAGTATCATACATTGCCACAGTAGAACAAACAGTTCTTGTACTTAAGTTAGATTTAGTCGAGGTCCACAGTATAATTAAGATTGTTCTATGCAGGAATGCCAGAATGGATGACCCTTTAGAAACAGCCCAGGGAGTAATGATCCCCGGAAGATATGGGAAGGGGTGTGTGTGTGTGTGTGTGTGTGTGTGTGTGTGTGTGTGTGGAAGCTGATAGCAAAGATGATTGCATAACCCCACTCGAGGGGAGCGCATAACAGAATTGGAAGTGAATGGATATATTGGAAGGGGCAAGATTCAGCTAATACACACACACACAGACAGACATAATAATATAACAAAAATAAGGGTTCCTGAGGGGAAAGAGGCAAGGGACAGACAGAGGGGAGCTGATATCAAAAAGTTCAAGAAAGAAAATGTTTTGAAATTAACTGTACTAGCAATTGTACAATTATGCTTGATGTACTTGAATTATGGAATGTTATGACATTTGTAAGAGCTCCCAATAAAATGATACGGAAAAAACAAACAAACAACCTAAGCATTCCAAAGTGTTATTCTTGTCAACTCCATTAAGACACTACCAGGCTTCCACTTTAAGCTGTCTCTGAATTTTACATCAGCTCTAAGACTTCAAATGTCGTATTAGGAGCCCCAAGCACACCAAACTCCCTGTCACTGAGTGGCCGCAGTTTCACAGCTAGCTTATAGGAGTGGGAGGGTTTCCCAGATTAACGTTATGGGAGGACAGTTTCATCTTTTCCAAGGAGGGGTGGATGCTGTCAAACCACTGACCTTGCATTAACAGTCTAGCCTGTAACCCCTACACCATAAGGCTCCTGTCATCTTGGGCAGATGGCCCGCCTCCCCGCAAACGTGGACTTCCAGCCCAGAGGCTTTGAGCAATGTACAGGCTCTGAGCAATGTACACACAAGCCTCACATCTATTGGATCCATTTCAGCACCCTGAAATAAACATGTATCCAACTGTAGACTACACTAAATCCAGCCTTCAAATTGTCATCAGACTGAATCATCAAAATATATATATAGAGAGAGCATAACCTCCCTCACATGTTAAAAATAGTGATTTGTCAGTTACAGGGCAAAGACCAAGTTTCTTAATTCACTTAAGAACTTTCAGTCATAATGTGTAACCTTCTTCCATGGTTATTTGGACTCCAAAGTTTACTCTCCCAGCAACTCAGAATTAAATTTTAAGTTTACTGCATTTATCAGAACAAAGTCTTTCTACTTTTAGGGGAGGGGAAGGGATGCCAGATGAGAAGAGGAAGATATGCCAGAATGCAGATTCTAAAATCTTCATCACATGGTGATGTCCAGGAGAATTAGATATGAGGCTCTGGTGTTTGAGGTCAGGAGTCTAGGCTAATCAATAACAGGGCTTCATATTGCAGACATAAACCTGTGCAGTCATGAAGTGTAATCCCCAGACTGCATATCCCATGTGCTCTATCTAGTCCCCTTACTACCATACACCAGTAC